GCTTTATGCTGTCTGCATAGCTACTCATATTTTCTAAGCTACTCTTCCTAGTATTACTTTATTCTATCATTAATTATCATATACTGTACTGTTTCAGACTAAATATTATTCTTAATCTAATACTCTCTATTTCTGAGGCTTAGTAAAATCTGCAAGGATTATTTGAAGTGCAAAAAGGACTGTTTTCATCTTTGGTTACTGATTTCAGTATATCTCGATGACTCTCCTTTAACACTTGAACAGTTTCACAGTACTATGTGGGATTTTCCAGCCAGTTCTCCTGTTTCGATACCATCACCATTTTTCAAAGAGACAGGCAGAGAATGAAAGAGGGAACATACTTGCCTTTGCAAAACATTAAAATCCTACAAATCTACACTAGTGAACTGGGCTGCTTTGTCATAGGGCTTCCTTGCACATTAGCAGGACCCTGGCTCTTCACAGTGTGTGTCTCTTGGTCTTCTGCAGCAAAAACAACAAGTGGAGTGGGGGCACAACTGGAAGCCTCTTGGACTGTTCACCAACACACTGATATGGATTAAAAAGATTACATTCCAACCCCATGAAGGACAGCCAGCAGGACACAAAGATAGCAGGTACCTGAAGAAGGTTTTGCTTGCCTACATTGGACTGGCCTTTAGTCTGGGCAGTGCTGCTCAATGCCTGAGCCCCCATTCACAGGTCACACAGCTTTTTCTTTTCTAGAAGACGTTTATAACTAAGTTTGTGGTGGTTTTCCCTTTCAATAGCCCAAGAGAAATGGAGTGCCCCCTCCCAGAGCTGCTGGAACATGTGGCTTTGCTAGTGCTATCTCTTTGGATCCAGCCACCTATGTCCTCTCAGAACAGATATTTCCAAAACAAGAGGGAGCAGGAACAAACAACACCACTGAGACCCTCCTGCTAGCACATTGGTAAGGCAACATCTCCAGGGAAGCATCACACCAAAGGTTGTACCAAGTGTTAGGTTTTATTTAATCTCTGTCAGCACATAACCTATTACCTTCCACTATCCACTTGTACAAAACAATGCATCATGTATTGGCTTTGATTTTTAAGCAGACATGGTAAATCAAACAAGGGATGTAAAAAACGTGATTTTAAGAAGTTCAAGAGCAAGCTTCAATTGTGCAACTCTTTCAGATGCAAACCTTGGTTAAGGCTTTGCCCTTCAGTTGTCCTGCAATAGAAATTTAATTGCTTGCATACACGTTTTTGTGTAGGCACATGAGCACATAGATGGTGATAGATATGTTGCATCAGTGCAAAAAGTGGTGCAATTTTACCCTGAGGTCTGTATTCCTCACGAAATGGATGTGTGTATGAAAGGCTGCCCTGACAAATGCAACTGTTATTGGTAAAACTGAGGAGCATAGAACAGACTGGGACAGTCTCATACTAAAGTTATTAATATATTTCAGTCTCAAACAGGATATAAAAACTGTGGTAGGCACTCCAGATTTCCTGCCTGCTGGAAGAATTCAAGTTTATACAAGTCATTTGTACAGTATCTTCACTCCCCCAAAAGATAGTATAGTGCTGAAGCTCAATTAAAATTGTTGAAACAGTAGGTGCTACAGTTTTTTCAAGTGAAAAGTGACCTCGCAGCAGGAGAGGAACCCAACGAGCAGCCTCTGCTTCCATTAATCTTTGCTCTATCTGCAAGAGTAGAACATCTTAGCTACGTACTTTGTTTTACGTAACTAAGAATGTATTGCTAGACAAATTTACCTTGTGACTCTTAATAACTGCTTTGAATGCATCTCATCAAGTTCACACATGCATCTAGGTCATTCTAATACAATCTTGTTTTGATCCCCAAGATCTCAGCTGGGATAATGAAATTGACTGTACAAAAGCCTTGGTCAATCTCCACAAGTTAGAGCAGGGATTATTGACAGAAAAGAAAAAAGGTATTCAAGCAAACTACCACAAATAATGTTTTATTAGTAAGGGATTTGGGGGAAAGATGTATCAATCTGACTAGAAGCATCTCCATTAAAAATAGCTACAGACATTATACCAAATAGCAAGTATGCATGTTTTGTCCCTCTGGAATGGGCAGAACAGGATTCATCTTCACATTACATATTCTCAAGAAAAATGTTTCAGTATTAGACATTTTCCAACAGAAAAATCTGTCAGAGCTGCTGAAAAGGGAAGGGATCAGAAGTGAAGTATGACAAATCAGTGGGATACTGTTAAAACAAAAGACAATTCTAGCATTTGACCAAATTGATCATATGCTTTCACCAATGTACCTGGGTCTTGAAATGTAGGAATCATAGAGTCATTTAGGTTGGAAAAGACCTCTAAGTTCATTGAGTCCAACCTTTTATCCAGCACTACCAAGTCCACCACTATTTCCCTCCATGCTACGACTAGATGTCATTTAAATACCTCCAAGGATGGTGACTCCATCACTTCCCCAGGCAGCCTGTTCCAGGGCTTGACAACCCTTTCAGTGAATAAATTTTTCATAATAGCCAATCTGAACCTCCCCTAGCACAGCATAAGGCCATTTCCTCTCATTCTATCACTTGTTACCTAGGAGAAGAGATGAACTCCCACCCAGCTACAGATTCCTTTCAAGCAGTTGTAGAGAATAGTAAGATTCCCCCTGGAGTATTTTCTTCTCTAGGCTAAACAGTCCCAGCTCTTTCAGTTGCTCTTCATAAGACCTGTGTTCTAAGAACTGCCTCAAATAAAATCTGTGTCTTACTTAGGGAAGACTCTAGAAGTATAATGAGAATATAAAATATAATCACACAAAGAACAAAACCTTCTGGCTTGAGTTTGTTTTGGTTTTTTTATTAACACAATTAAATAAAATTTCTAAACATTTCATAGCCCATAGACCTTAGCTTTTCCTTTTATGTAACAAGAGAGAGAACACGGATAAGCTGCCAGACCATCACACTTCAGATCCCATCCCACTGTAGGTTAACCATAAATTAACATTATGTGGGCAAAACAACGGAACTTTTAGGCAAGATAAATATTTATTAGCATAGTAGCAGAGAAAAACCGAGGTATCTGTTCAAATTTTCTGGAAACTATGATAAAAGACTACTGATTAGAGAGCTACAGCTCTTGAATATAGAGATGTAATAAACACTGATCTTTCTTTCACTGTTTAGTATGAAAAGAACATTTGCTTTTTCAAAAAAGGCAAAAAAGAAAAAAAGAAAAAAGTCTTAGATTAGAGTCTAAAGTGCTACAGAAAGATGATTTTTACTGGTAGGTTGTCCCATTAGTGATTTTTAAATGAATACCCCTGAAGATATAAAATATTTTGCTAGGTTGACCCTGACTGAATGCCAGGTGTCCACCAAAGCAACTCTATCACTCCCCTCCCCAACTGGACAGGAGGAAGAAAACAAAGCCTTAGTTTCATGGGTTGAGATAAGTAATTTGCAAGTAATTTGCAAGACTGTTTCTCCCACTCAAATGCACCTTGCAGACGATTGTCTTTCCCTCTTGATTTGATGAGAGATCACTCATCAGATATGACCACAGAAAAACCAGACTCAGATTGGGGATATTAACTGAATTTATTACTAACAAAATCAGAGCAGGATAATGAAAAGTAAAATACATGTTATAATCATCTCCTGTCCAACCTTTCTCTTCTTCCCAAGCTCTACCTGCTCCCCAGGGAGGTGCAGAGAGACAGAGAATGGGGGCTATGGTGAGTTCATTACCAGTGGTTTCTCCTGCTGTTCAATGAGAGGAGGCCTTCCCTTGCTCCAACATGGGGTGCCTCCCATGGGAGACAGCTCCCCATGAACTGCTCCAATCTGAATCCATCCCATGGGCAACAGTTCTCCATGAACTGCTCCAGTGTGGATTGCTCTTACACAGGGTGCAGCCATTCAGGCACAGCCTGCTCCAGTATAGGTCTGCCACAGGGTCACAAGTCCCACCACGAAACCTGCCCTAGCATGGGCTCCTCTCTCCAAATGTCTTTCTCACAACCCTGCTCCAGCACAGGCTTCCCATGGTTTCACAGCCTCGTCTCAGGCAGCCACCTGCTTCAGCACGGGGATCCTCCACAGGCTGCAGGTTGATCTCTGCATCCTCATGGTCCTCCATGGGCTGGAGTGGCACAGCTCCACCAGGGGAATCTCAGCTCCAGCATCTGAAGTGCCTCCTCCCACTCCTCCACTTGGTGTCTGCATCGATGTTACTCTGCCCAAGATCATATTTTTTCTTTTTTAAATACATTATTACAAAGACATAAGTGTCTTTTGTGATGGGTCAGGAGCAGGTTGGCCCTGCAACGAGCTGGCATTGGCTCTGCCAGACATGGGGGAAGCTTCTAGCAGCTCCTTACAGAAGCCACGCCTGGAGCCCCCACCACCAAAATCTGCCCACACAAACATAATAAAGATATTAATTCACTAAAAACTATGGAAGTGTTTAAACACCTTGGGGAGATGATTGTTTTTGAATCCTATATTTTTTTCCACTAAAAGTGATTTTGATAGGTGGATGATTTAGACAAGAAGACTGAAAAAAATGCTGCAGAGATGACAGGATTTAGAAAGATCCTGATATTTAAGACAGATTCTAAAATTAACTTCAGAATCCGCTTTAAGTGATCCTATTGAACTTTTATTATCCAATAACTCTATTTTAGAAAACTCTTCACCATCCTCTCTCTCCAGCAAGCATCATGACTGTTCATCAAAATGAATCTTACTGCAATACTCTACTGGAAAACTTAGCATCTGGCAAAACTGTGTTACTAATTTGTTTTGAAGAACATAACCCAACACAAAAGTACAAACAGCGCAGATGACACTCAGCAAAAGTTGAAATTCCATTTATTTTCAAATTATAGTAGCAGCAGAGTTTTGTGGAAAGTTTTTTTAATTACTGTTCATTCGGGTTTTAAAAAAATTTTTAAATTATTAGTATTTGGTTGTTCACTTGGGGGTTTTGTTGGATTTTTTTGGGATTGTTTTTATATTTCCCTTGAGTTATTTGGGGTTTTTTTTTTTGGTATCAGCAATTCTAAAAGATTCTTTATTATTGCAATCATGCAGAAGACACAGATAACTTGAAAATCTGTATGCTTGGGATCCCATCATGTTCTTGAAACCATTCTGGAGTCCTTTGTGAGCAAAAGGTTGGGGTATGAGAACTGACACAAGGTTCCAGAATTTTAGAATATAAAATCATCTACAAGGTTAGCAACAGAAGGAAGACACTTGATTTTTTTAAAACAGCATAGTAAGAAATTTTTTTTTAAATCTAAAGGTTTTTTTATAAATTAAGTTAGAAAACATTACACAATTGTTAACAATGCTAGATTAGCCTAAGTATCCTAAGTAGGCTTCCAAAACCAGTTTAGAGTGAGAAGACACATATTGCATATTGAGACAGCTATCAATTTTAAGAGGTAGATGACAATATTAATCTATTAGCAGTACAACTTTTATGTAAATATCATTAAATATTGTCTATACAGTTTCCCTATTTTTGTAAGGGTACAAAGAGAAGGAAAAACACTGCCTCTCATCTAAAAGCAACCGTATTCATCTAATTCTTTGGTCTACATCACCACCTCTTCTGGAGATGCAGGTGGGGGAATTGAAAGGATTAGCAAGGCAAGGAAAAAAAAAATAAAATCAACCCTATTTGTGTATGTAAGCAGAACACACCATCCAGACTGCAGTGAGGATGGCTGAGCTCACAGCACAATCCTCAGGACAACTTGGCTACCTTGAGTGGAAACAGCAGAAGCTCTCACAGGCAGAAAAAGAAGCATCAGAAGTCGTGCACAGTACTTCCCACGATGCCAATTCAGACTCATTGCTTAATGTATTTATGAAGGTGCTTCATGGCTGGAAAAGCATGTCTGTTCCTATGCACCCTGTCCATCAGATTTCTGGGTTACCATTAAGAGGAAAAAGCAGTAAGTAATAGCAGCACTGATGGAAAGGCTTTGTCACAGTGATAATCCGAGTGTGTTGCTAACCTGCCAGCATCTGTAAAATGTTGGCTGTTACTAAAAGCATCCATCTCAAAGTGTTAAAAGCACAGCTCAGTATAAAAATGGGATGACAATTTTTCTGTCCTTTGGATAGTCTTCAAATTTCTCAAGGTACCATCTGAAAAACAAAGAAAAATCTGATGAGTGTTGAGTCTTCAAAGCACTGTTGAGGAAGTGAAATAATTGTACAATGTGTTTAATTTAATCCATACACATTTTTGTCTACAAAAATAAGCCTTTAGAACCTACTTAAGATAGAAAAGTGGCATTTACTGCGATCACCCTAATGACATCTAATCACCAAATATAACAAAACTAAGTTACAGCTGCCAGCAATGGGAAATCAAACCAACAGATGTGGTGAGATATGTCAGGGAAGGAATAACCCATTCTCTCAAAATGTATATTGTTACACATTCTGAGTATTTACACATTTTAGAATTAAAAAGAGAAAAAATTAAATCAAAAACATGTCATTGCATAATGACTTCACATGAAGGCAAGGGATACTTCACACACTGGAATGAGAGTCCCATTCTGCATAGAAACAACTGCAGTTACAGTTTGGGTCATCAAACTGAACATGACAAACATTGCACTTGCCTTATTGCTAGCATCCCTCAAAGACCAGCATTATTTTAAAATCCAGACAATAAAAAAAAAGGCAGACCACTATCAGATATTATTTTGTTTTCACCTTCCATAACAACCATGTTTACTCCCATTTTTGAATATTTATTCTTCTGCTTCTCTGAAATAAAAGAACTAAGTTCACCTGGACTCCTTGAAGGTGCAGATATTCATAATATCAGTAGCTAACTGCAAGATCAAGTAGCTATTATAAGCTGGAATAAATAGAACAAAACATGCAAAGCATGATAACCTGCATCCAGGGAATACAATTATTACTCTATTTACCCATTTCAGTCATTTATTCTAGGTTTCTTAAACAAACTACACTAACCTATTTCTTCACTTACATGGATGTTCTATTTTTAGTTGCTTTGAGTTTCTTTCCTGTATCCCTCTTCCATTTTCATGCATTTTTCCTTTAGTGTGAAAAACTTCTTTTAACAACATTTTGCTTTTCTTGATGTTCTGAAAGAGTGCCATCAAGGCTTAAGATTGATGGAAACAAACCACGGAATTTGAGCCTGGAGAATGTAATATACAAGGAGAGCCAGGAGAACCTGTCCTTGCTTCATCTGGTAAGGAGGGGACAGAACTCAATTGGATGAGCCCTGGGTAACTGAGCACAGCCTTGTGGTTTGCCCTGGCCAGAGCAGCCACACCAGTCGACTGGACAACCTTCAAATGCTCCTCCCAACGCAAGATACTCTGCAACCCTGCTCACTAATAGCAGCTGATAGAACAGGAAGAGATGGTCATAGGCAACAGGTTTGGAAGGCTCAGGTTGGAGAGTGGAATAAATTTGTTCACTGGCAGGGTAACACAGACCAGGAACATCCTATAAACAAGGGGCAGGAAAACCTCTATTTCTGGAGGTTTTCAGGACTCCAATAGGCATAGACATGGCTGCCCTCACAGATGGTCAGCATTTTTTTTCAACCCATTTCCTCCTTAAATTCATGTTTATTTCCTCTTATGCCCCTAAGTTTCAACATGAGAAGCAAAGCAGGAAGCTGAAAATAGCCAAAATAAAATCAACATGCTCAAATGCTTTTAAACATGCTATTCCTTAATGAGAATCCTTTCAGGAAACAAGTGTCTCCAAACTATGGTCCTTCTTGTTAGTAGGAAAGTCACATTATAAATACAGTACATGAGCAGTCAGAATGTTTAGATCAGAGACTTCATTAAACATCATCTACCAGAACTGTTTTCACAATGTCCTTGCAATTGATTATAAACAATATGATACAGACATGACTATAATGTGTCTCTTAAAGACAGCTTGAATGATTTTCAAAATTTTAATATTACAGAAACAAGTTTGAGAGGGCAAAGTAGAGTATTTGATTAATTAAGACAATATTGCTAAACCTGTCTATAATCTTTACAGATCCAGGATGAACTATCTTCATTTAAACATTTGGACCACCTTGTTGTACTGTGTTTATGCTCTGTACTATTCTGCTGAAATCCTCCAGTACTTAATCTTCTCAGAGTATTCTCTATCATATTCTGCCCTACAGCAGCAGTCTCTTTCACAAGACTTGCTCTGCAACATCCCTGTAGGATGAGGCATAATCTGTGAAATGGAAATGCAGTGTGGCATAGAGACAACAGAAATTACAAGGCAGGAACACTTACTTGTGGTGTTGTCTTGCCCTTGAACCCAGGATGAAGAGACTACACAATGCAAATGCAAAGCTTTCAATGGTGCAGCAGGCAAGGGCAAACCCAAACCATTCCAGGATCTCTCCAAAAAAGTTGGCTCCGCTGACATACTCAAACATTCCTCCTGAAAGCAGGACAGTTACTTCAAAATACCTTGACCAAGATGTCTGATATTATCTTTTCTGTACACCAAATAGGAGCTATAGAACCAATGTCTCTATTTAATCTTTAAAGGCAGTGGAGACAGTGTTCTTCAGTTCAAGCTGTACTATGAAGGATCACTTCAGACCTCATTCTAAGACAGACCTTTTGTAGCTCCATTTGTCCTCTTTAAATAAAAAAAAGCAGATTTACTAGCATCAGAAGCTAGTGCATGCCTTGGCAAATAATTACTTAAAGACACGGTTTTTGATCATACACTGAATCTTTTTAAAAATATGTAGAAATAGTAGACATACTCCCATTGAGTCCCAGAAAAAACTCATAAGGTCAGTTAGCCTACAATTTTTCATTTCTTTAGGTACTGTAGAAATTAGGTTAATTATGAACAATATTGTTATTATGAAGTAAAGTTCCAAATTTCTTCTCTAGCTTACAAAGTTGTTGCACTTTGCTCCCATTCCCCATCAGCTCTGCTGTTTCAACCCTTAAACTCAGTGAAAATTTGGCAGTCTGTGTTAAATCTATTGTATAAACAACTGGTACTTAGTGGCTGGGAATTTTATAAATTAAGAATTTCAACCTAATTCCAAAGTCGATCTACAAATTGATAATATCTCAGTATGTGCTTTACTAGTGGGATTAAACAAACAAGTATTTGGCAAACATAATAAAGGACATGTTTTGACCTTGCTCTAATTGCACAACTTTTGTGATAAAAGTGAAATTCTAGCACTTAAACTGGATAAGCAACATCAAAAAAACCCCAGCTCCTCCTTATCTTACAGCAAATAACACATTTCCTTCAGAACCTTTTTGTACATTGAACACAGTACAGTATGTTCATATTCATTTTTCACATGAACACTTCAATTTACATCTAGTAAAATTATAATTATTTTCATCTTCTTATGAAAAATAGTCTACCTTATATATCTTAGTTCTTACAGTTTTATTTTAAAAAATTAACAACCAAGAAAAAGCAACAAGTAAGAGAAAAAAAATGTAGTGAGACAACAGAACTCAGAGCTAGTATTATCTTTCTGCTCTCAGTGAGTGTAATGTACCTGGGAGACTGCCTGTTTCCAAGAGTGTCAATAAACCTTAACACTTCAATATAGGCTCCATAAGAAAGCCTTTCATACTCTCCATTTTCCCATGAAGGACAGAATTTATAATGCCAAGCTCATTTGGATTTCTGACCTCTTTGCCCTGGGTCTCCCTTCCCAAAAGTGTTGCTGCTCTCTGATTACTTTAGGTACCTCCCTGCTCATATATGGGACATGAGATGGGTCACATGCTAAGTACTTTCTTCATTCCCCTCCTGGCCCCAAACTGAGTTGATAATTTAGGTCTTTCTTCTCCACCCACCTGCTGATTCTCTGAAAAGTTAGACAATGCTGTTACATTTTTACCCCTTTTTAAAAATATAGCAAACATTGGTCAAGAAACCCAAAGATTTGCACAAGCCAAGTGGTATCATGAAACAGATTCCTTACAATACCTGGCTTAAGAGGAAAAAAATGTTTCTCAAATTATAAAATCACTTCCTGTTTTAGAAAAAAAACCGCTATTTCCACTTGCCTCTTATAAATTACTATCTCTTCTAAAATACATCAATAGAGAGTCATTTTCACACAGAATCATTTTCGATTGGAAAAGATCTCTTGAGATAATCAACCACCACTGTTGAAGCAGGATCAGTCAGAATGGATTGCCCAGGACTATGCCCAGTCTGGTTTTGAGTCTCCCTACAATCTCTGAGCAACCTGCTCCACATCTGTGTGTTTGACCACCCTCAGAGGAGGGAAAAAAAAAAATCAGTTATAATTTTATGTACTTGAATTTTCTGTCCACTGCCTCTGGTCCTGTCACCAGGCACCACTAAGGTGAGCCTGGTTGTCTCTTCTTCATTCTCTCCCATTAGATAAAGTCTGCTAAGATCTCCCTGAACTTTCTCTTCTCCAGTCTGAACAGTCCAAGCTCTCTCCACCTCTTCTAATATGAGAGATACTTCTTTTTGTTGTATTAATTTCTGCATTTTACTTACCTCTTGGTATCTTGTAACCAGTTTCCCCTGGCTTTCTCAGATTTCTGAGAATATGATCAGAATGAATATTGATGACCATGCCGATCAACCACCCTAAAAAACCTGAAGAGAAATATTCAAAATGCTACCTTTAGTGCACTATGTTCAGAAAACAAACTACAGTCAGATATCACATTAGGCATATTGTCTTAAAGCAGTAGTAATGTAAACAGCATAAACTGTTCTGGTGGCATCCTGCACAGTCCCAGCCCCACACTGTGCTCTTCAGTCAGTGGAGCTCACAGTATCTTCAGCTCCCTAGATGGGAAACTGCACTGTAAAAATGAAGTTTATTCTTATGTTGCATAAACGTATGTATGTGCTTATATGCAGATATAATGTGTATGTTTTCCTACACTTCCACATAGAAAAACAAATATGCAAAAATTTTACACATTGAAAGAAACAGGCATTTTTAATCTTCTCAGAGGGACACATCTTAGGCTCCACTTTCCTTTTACTATTTTACTGATAGCATATCAGAATTTCTCCAACAGATTTCTGGGCAATAAAAGGAATACAACTGTAAAGGAAATAATGTACCATTCACTCATGCCATTCAGCAAAATGGTTTAGCCATTTATTACAGCACTTCACAGAAACTCAGATTGTTGTCACATTCTGCATCCTTATGTCACCATGACGATGGGATAAATCAAAAGGAATTTAGGATTAAAATTCATTATTTTTATCCCTTGGCAACATGTTACCTTCCCTTGAAGGCAGCATTCCCCGGTGATAAGGAACAGATAAGGTCTGTGTTTTGAGGTTAACCAGTACCTCATCTCAGATTTTGTGATCAGTTTTTCCAACAAGATACAATCATCTGGAGCATCCAGACACCAACTGATATTAGGAGATATACTGGTAACCCACATCCCTTGCCTACAAGATTATATCCAGATATTTCAGGTCTGATGTGTGAAGAGAGCAGAAGTGACACGTGTGATTAATTGCCTGATCGCCAGATAAAATGCTTCATGCAACAGTTGAGGTGCTGATGTTCTGTAACCTGCACCTTGTGAATTACAGGCGCTGTTCTGCTTTGCAGATCTGCTACTAAAAAAGTGTTTTGATGCACAAAAGAGTTAGACATCAACATTCGAAGAAAGTAGTTGAATAGGGTTTTAAAGCAGTAAGAAAAGACATGGCATACTGCAAAGAGTTTGAAGAAGCTAAAGCAAGCAAAGGAAGAAAGGAGTTTGCAATTAAAAGTGCAAATAGATTAGGAAAGGACACAAGGGTGAGAAACAGAGGTGTTGGTGTCCTGTTTGTAGCAGCCACCACTTCAGGGTATCACCAGCTCCCTTGGTAAATTCACAAGCTCTTTATTGGCATTCAGGTGTAAGGTTCATGCTGAGAGATTGTGACGTTGCTCTTGGTTTGCAAGCTCATGGTTCTGCATTTGAAGCAGAACATTCTCGTTTCCTCTGAAAACAGACAGGTTCACTGCTCTGAATTAAACAAACACACAGTCCAGAGAAACTATGAAGAAATCACATCAAAACCATGTTCCTGCTCCAAATCAATTGCTGGTGTAAATATAAGTTACTCTGTTCCCCAAGACAGGCAAACTATATAATAAGGCTCCACAGTCAGAGAACACATCAGCTGTTTGAAACTTCTCACCATGATAGTTAATCAGCCTTCTCCAAATTTCTGTCTTCACTGGAAGTTTCTCTCATTTCAACTCCCAGATATTGAACCTTGGTTGGTTGCTACTTGTAGACACTCTCATTTATCTTCCACATGTAACTTCATAAAGCTTAAGAAATACTGTATTAACTACCAGGAAATATACTTTCTTGCTATTGTGATTGTCTAATACTCTAGAATTTATTTTTTTAGTTATTCTAAACACAAGCTTAAAGACACTGCCAGATAGTTTTGAAGTACTAGAACATAACAGCCAAGTTGTTCAGGGAATACCCAGTGTACAATACTTCATTTTGGCATTTGCTTTTGACCAAAGCCATAAGCATAAACTGCAGGTATTTGGAGGAGCTGGGATGAATACCAAGTAGCAATTATAAATTGCTAAGATCCAATTATATTGATATGCATCACAAAACAACAACAACAAAAAAATCCAAAAGAGATTCCAATTACAGGAATTAAAAAAAAAAAAAAAAAAAAAAGCCTTCAGTTTAGCTGTTTAATGGGAATGCCAAATTTTACCTCAAGATTTGTTGAAATTACAGTCTCAAAAAATCAGAAATGGTCACACTATTAAAGTGGTTGATATGTACACGAGGAATCTTCACTTTCTTAGTTTTCAGGATAACTTTTTAAAGTACTATACTGACTAACAGTCACAAGAGCAACACTTCACTTATGTTTAGTGGTACTAGAAATATATATAAGCATATATTTCAAACTGGTATTTTCTGGGGAAAAAAGCAAACAAACAAAACCACAAATACAAAGCAAACTAATTCATATACAGAAGTATTCATAACTGAAGGCAGATGAATGTAACTATTGTCATTTATACATTTGCATCTTTCAGAAATCCTTGAAACTTAAAAAAAAAAGAAGAAAGCACCCCAAAGAACCCAAGGAAGATTGAGCAACAAGTCTTATTAACTTGATTTTTAAAAAGACACTTGAGTAAGAAGGGATTGATTTATGGCTCCTTAATCATGATTCATTCACAGCACTGTATTGAGACATCTTTCAACTAAGGTACTAAAAACAAAGCCCGCCTGGCTTCAGTCTTCAACAGTTTTGATCAACAAATCTTTTAATCTTTTTTTTTTTTTTTTTTGGATTCTAATTTAAGTAGAGTGGAATTTGAAATTATCAAGAAAATTTCAGATATATTCTAGTGCTCTCTGAAATCATTCCCTTGTACCTCAATTTCTCTATTTTTACTGCACAAACAGAACTGCCTCCTAATCTTGGCAAGAGAATCTACTTAGATTGAAATTTCTTTAACCATATATTCATGACAGCATTTAGCACAGTTATCTTCTATTATCATCCACAACAACACTGTAATAAAGACAAAAAAATTTGAGGTTTTTTGTTGTAAAAGGCTTGAGAAATATAGGAGAAACACTAACTTGCTCTGGCTACAGAATAACAAAAAAGAAGGGTAGTGACTTAGATCAAGGATCTACACAGTCCAGTACTCTACCTTTGATCAATGAGGCAAAATATTCTTGTTTATCTTCAGATGAAAATGATCTTTCCTAAAGATTTCTTTAGGAAATTATACTATCGTTTTGACAGTAGGCTAAAATAGATGTCTAGGAAACAAAAAAGTAGAGTAAAGAAAATACTTTCTTGCTAAATACCTTAGGTTTTTAATCATATCCATGGCTTCAGTGTAACCTCACTTCCCAATTGGGAGGGAATTATCAACCCCTCCATCCCTTCCTTGTGGGGCCAATTTTGGCATTTGACAAAGCCACCCCACAATTACAAGGGCAGATAGATTGGTGCCTATGTGTGTATCCAACGTAGATATCCTGACACCAAGGACTTGTAGTAGTTGCCATGGTATGTTAGTAGTTAGCAGCTATCCTTGCTAGGTTTTTTTACTCCATGAAGTTGATTAGTTTAGTTTAATCTACATGTTACATAGAAAATCTTTGCTTCTTCTAAACCTGCATGCTACTGGTTCCATGTAGGGCTTCAAGTTTCTACATGAAAAAAAAACCCAAAAAAACCATGACCTGGATTTACTCAGCTGTTAAGGAGTAAAGATGACAATCAGATCATCTAGCACAGCAGAAAGAAGTGTCAGTTCACAGATAAAAAGTAAAAAAGGTTAAAACGCCTCCAGCTACACCAATGAGAAAATTATGAGAAGACTTATAAGATGGCATTGAAGATACTATAAAATCACAATAAAAAATGAAGAGCTATGAAGACAGAGAGAAATTACACCTGATGTTCTCATAACATGATTTAACTCACCTGTAATGAAGCGTGAATCACCCAGCCAGCCTGGAGGGTAAGCTGCATAGGCGGTTAAGCTTCGGCCTTGCAAGTATCCGTTGAAAACACAGAACAGAAGTGCTAACACAAAAGTGAAAAACGGTGTTGGTTTTCCTGCACGGATCAGAAGAGGAAAGATGAGTGCCCTATAGCAAACAAAGAAAAGAAAATTTATTGTATTAACCACAAAAAAATATAGTTTTGAAGTCCAAACACTGTCCATACTACCATATTTTTCAAATTTTCAGAACTAGCTCTTGGTGCCTGTTTGAAAGGACAGCTGCACTAGTTTTAACATCTAAACCTTGGGGTTTTTTTGCTAAGGGGAATTACAAGATCAGTCCTCTCTCCCATATGGCAGAAATTTTGAACTTTATATCTAAAGCAATTACTTTGGTGAGAGGAATAACAACAACTGATAATTAGGCATAGTCTATTTTTGTTCTTAAATCTTCAGTCCTAGCTCATCTTAGAAAGCTTGATGGTACAACTGAAGATCCCTCCACTAAATTCCCCCAGCACTTCCAGGGGGAAAGTCAATCCCCTTGAAATTAACTTTATTGACCTCAGTTTCCTCCTACCCTGCAAGCCAAAACAATAATTGCTTCACCTCGACAATTTTGGTCTACTCTATGACACCTCTAAAGACATGACAAACCCACAATTGCTATCCCATTTGGGAAAGGAATCTTGATTGCTTTTCCTGGGGGATTATGCAAGTAAACAAACTAGCTCCAAACAAGAAGAACAGGTGAATATTCTTGTGCTCTTTCTTGTGGAACTAGCCAACTCCCAATTGTCTATTGATTTAATTATGATCTATAATGAGACAGAAGCAGGATCACTGATGCCTGAGCATTCTTCACGTGTTTTCCATCCACCCAAGGATGACTGGTTCAAAATAACCTTTCCAAAGGTTATTTTCAACAAGCCTAACAGCTTTCAAGAAAGAGAATAAATTCTTTACAGGATTATTTAAAGCATGCCATGCTACAACAAACAGAATTAGATAACAGAAGTCTCTTCCAATCTATGTTCACCTATAGAATCCCTCAGCTTTGGCAATAGCAACAAGCAACTGGAAAAAAAGAAACTGCAGCACAGCTCAGCTTTTTGTACAAATCATTGCCTCACATTCCTAGCTATTCCCAGACATCAAGGATGAATGAAGATTCCATGTAAAAGCTAATACCTTTATGCTGAAGAATAGAAAAAGGGGGAGCAAAGACACAATTCCAGGTTTTCAAAGGCAGCCTCCAGGCCAGCCATATATCACATACCTCCCCACCACAAGGCTGCAGAATGCACTTGGTCAAAAGCAAGAGCTTTTCTCCATAAACATCAGAAAATAACATACCAGCCATACAAGTGGCTTAAAATAAACCTGACAAACCTATCCCTCCTGTCCTGGTGGCAAATTTACTTGTGGAGTATGAACAGTAGCTACTGTCCAAAACTTGAAGATTGCACCTGGGTTCCAGCTAAGCAGCTTTCTCCAATATTCTTACAAAATGCTTGAATGCTGTCGGCTACCTGGCAACATAGGTCACTCAGCCTCAGTTTTGCCAGTATTTTAATGAATCATTGATTATGCCGAGCAAGAGGAAACACAAAAGGCTCATCCAGTCCAACTCCTACAATGAACGTCACATTGAATGACAATGTTGAACAATATAAATCGGAAAATAGCTATTGTTTCACAACATCAAAATCGCATCAGTACGCGGTGCTGAGCTTTCTTATTGTAACACTATGACCTTAACACAGCCTGGTCAACCCACTGCTGAAGCGGGAGCCGCCACAAGGCACAGCGGCAGCGCAGGGCTCCGTTTGCCGGAGCATCGCAGAGCATGGCACAGAGAGCACCGCGCCGCCACGGCTCTTTACCCAGCCACCACAGCAACACAGAACATAGCTTAATGTAGCGAAGCAGAAGAGACGGCAGAGGCTATTACATCAAGTAACAAACGCTAACTAACAGAACCTCGACCCCTTCTGTCGGGAAGCAGCAGCCAGGTATCTCTGTACAGACCGATCCCTTCTCCTACTCCCAGCAGGGCAGGCAGCCCCCGCCATCCGCCCAGCGCCGCCGGTGCCCGCGGGCAGCGCCGCCCGCCCGACCCCACACCTGTGCGCGTAGTGCAGGACGAAGCAGCCCAGCAGGACGCGGTTGGGCCGGGCGGCCGCGACCGCCCCGCCACAGGCGGCGAGCCCGAGAGGGACGAGGAGGGAAGGCAGCTCCTGCAGCGCCCAGGCGGGGCGGGCAGGCAGCAGCCAGCCGAAGCGCCGCGAGGAGTACCGGCCGTAGGGCATGGGGATGAAGCGGAGCAGCAGGGCGGAGGCGGCGCCCAGCGCCATCAGCCCATAGGAGAAGAGCTCCAGCAGCCGCCGCTCCTCGGGGCCCTCGGCCCGGCGCAACAACGCGCACACGCCACCATCGCCGGCGAACCCCATCGCGCCCCGCCGCCTCGGTTCATCTGGCACCGCCAGTGGCCTGCGGGGGCGTGTCCGCCGCCGCTCCGCCCCTGCCCGCCCGCTGCGGGTGGAGTCGGGCCGGGCCGGGCCGGGCCGGGCGCTCGGGAAGTTCCGCCGGGAAGCAGCGCCGGGAGAGGGCGGGTCCGCGCGTGCGCGCCGGGAGCACGCGGCAGCCTCGCGGTCCCTCCGGCCGAGCGGGAGCGGGAGCGGGAGCGGCCGCTGTTCCTCACGGCGGGGCTGGTGGTGCGGCTCGGCCGCTGCCTGGCTGCCATGGGCCGCAGGGCGCGGGACCGCCGGCGGCAGCAGCAGCAGCAGCAACGGCAGCAGGAGCGGCAGGAGCGGGGCGGCGGCGGCGGGGACCAGGCGGTGAGAGCCGGGCCGGGGGAGGTGAAGCGGGGCGGCGAGCGCCGGGACCGCCGGGCTAACAGCGTTGGCACTTCTCTTCAGGGCTGGGCCGGCGGCTACCCCGAGATCGTGAAGGAGAACGAGCTATTCGAGCGGTACTACCGGGAGCAGGGCATCGTGCCCGCCGGAGAGTGGGACGCGTTCATGGCGGCGCTGCGGGAGCCGCTGCCCGCCACGCTGCGCATCACCGGCTACCGCAGGTACGGGCCGGGGGTCCCGCGGGGCCGCGCCCCGGACAGCGGCTGCCAGAGACACCTGGCACAGGGGGAGGTGTCTCGCCCACGGCAGGGGGGTGGAACTACGCGGTCTCCAAGGCTCCTTCCAACCCGAACCGTCCTGTGATTCTGTGATTCTCCATCCGGTGTCCCTCCGGGTGTCTCTCACATGCAGCCACGCCAAAGAGATTCTCCACTGCTTGAAGGAAAAGTACTTCCGAGAGCTGCACGACCTGGAGGTGGACGGCCAAAAGGTCGAGATGCCGCAGTCGCTGAGCTGGTGAGTGGTCTGGAGGCGAGATAAGGCGTGTTCTGCATGTTCCTGGCAACCAGCCTGGCTCATCGGTCTCTTTCTTCTGCACCTGTTCTTTCCGCATCTCTTTCCACCAGGTATCCTGAAGAGTTAGCCTGGCACACTAACTTGAGTAGAAAAATCTTACGCAAGTCCCCACAACTGGAGAAGTTTCATCAGTTTCTGGTTAGCGAGACAGAATGTGTAAGTTTTGGATAGATCTTGATTTTTTTCTGGCATATCCTGTGCAATGCTTTATTGAAATACATTATGAAAGATGGAGACTTTATATTTTCTTTCAGAAGTTGAGTAGCTGAGAAGAATCTAGATTTTGTGTTACAGTTGCCAGTGATGCAGCCAATAATTTTAGTGTATAACTAAATAATATAATTTTAGTGCAGCTACAAATACTCGCCTAAACCATTTGTTTTTTGTTGTTGTTTGGGGGTGTTAAAATGAGTCCCTGTAATCAGTTGCTGTTAGAAACCAAATGTTTAAATCTGGTAAAAACTGCATGCATGTTTATGACAGCACTTAAGTGGTAAATGTTTGTCACTTGATTTGAGCCAGTTTCTCCTTTCTTTTGAGCAGAAACTACAGAATTAATACAATTGGAGTAAATATGCAGTTATAGAAATTGCAGTTGGGTGAAATACTGTGAATTTTTTTGTTAAATTAAAACAGAATTTTATCCTAAGTTTATAGTGGTGTGTTTCTGACTGCTTTTTCATTTTACTACATAGCAATTTAAAAGTTTTATTGCAAAAGAAATACATTCTTTCATTGAATAAAAGCAAATTTAATTTCTTTTCTCTTTTAAAGGGAAATATCAGTCGTCAGGAGGCTGTTAGTATGATCCCACCTCTGCTGCTTAATGTTAGCCCTCATCATAAGGTAAGTGTAGAATATAATGTGTACTAAAGTTTGTTCCCTGAAATTAGCTTAATTGAACTACAAATCACAAGAGCAGTATTAAGGCTGATACACAGTTCTGTTTTGTATTGGTACATTTTATGCTTTCTGCACATCAACAGTAGTGCTCAGTTAATGTTCAGATCACAAACACACTATCAGAGGAACATCTGCTTTTTCAGCTGTATGTAATACCCTGCAAAAAACACTTCAATTTTTGGCAGTTGCCTAGTTTATTTTCAAAGTGTAAATGTGTTTAGCTGCATCTGAGTTATGTATTCTTGTTACAAGGTGCTTTTAAAGTAAGGTGACTGTTTTTAACTTCCTCTCTCCATCACACTGTGAACAGATGTAGTTTTCAAGATGCAAGTGATAATATTCCCTACCTCGTAGATTTCACTCCTCTATGCCTTTTGAAGAAGCTGAGAAGTTCTACTCTATAAATAATCTGTTATATTAAATATTTTGGGTGAGCTGAAACATGATGTTGGTGGTGGCTAAATATTATAGGGTGCTAACTTCAACTGAAGTGTGTAAGGAATGCCCATGGTATTTTCTTATGACACACCATAGGAATGAGGTTATCTGATAGCAAACTTTCTGTTCTAACTGATGTTTTCATACTCTGTGCTTGTTTGCAGACCAAATCTGTCAGGCAGCTTTACTCTCTTAATCTGTTAAATTAATGAGCTAGTTGCCTTGCTGTCTCAAGCAGCCATGTTGTGTTCTTGTTTCTTAAATTTTCATGGTGTATCTTAAAATGTTATGTTTATTACTTCTGACATGTATTTTAAAGAGTAGTTTGTATACAGTTGTTTTTAGATTAACATGACTTAACATACATGACTTTTCACCTTTTTATCTCCTACTTTCACCCCAACCCAGTGTATGAGAGCTATGGCTGCTTTATGTGAGGCAACGTCTTCTAGGTCCTGATATGTCACAGGTGTATTTTGATTTTTGTCTGGAATTTGAACAGGTGGTGAACACATTCATCCTAATGTAAAACACAAATTGTGGGGATATTTTTGCACACACCTTACATTGTATATGCTAAGATAGCAGTATATAGCCTTTACATTGAATGTTTAATTTGGGTGAGTATTGCACTTTCCACAAATGCATGTAAGATTTCATAAACCAGACTAAGAATAGGTTCTTTATCCTCTCTTGTGCCAAACCAGCAAATGTTTAATGATGTAATGATGCCCTGACCTGTCATTTTAGGACCTTTTATGGTCCTTAGTGTCTTAGCTTAGGAGCTGCTTGTTAGGACCAGAATTTCAGGTTGCTTTTTTTTTTTAACCAGCATGTTCTGTATGTCATGTCTAACATGCTGATTCCATCTTCCACAAGGATAAAATTAATGATCGTGAAACCTCCCCATAGCTGTATTCATTTTTAATCTACTTTTCCCATTTAGTTTTCCCCCACCATCAGTTTGCTGGACAGTTTTAGAGTTGTGTGTTTAGCCTTGTATATTCTTCGTTATCTTTTGCATTATCTGCAAAAGTAGCAAACAGTAGCATCACATCTCTTAATTTAAACAGCAGATCTGATGCTGACCCTGTCTTGCAGGGTGTGTTTCGTGGTGCGTTATCACTGCTGTATGACAGCACTTATCACACCTTCTTTGGAGCTCTCTTTGTGTTTCTCTGGGGGCTGTCTTCTGGTTAGTGCCAGGGGCTTGCATGAGGATCTGAGCAGGCAGTTCCCGTCCTTTATCCTGTTGCACGATCTCAGCTGATTTTTACTGGAGCCAAAGGTCCAGGAGATAGATATATGTTTCTGAAAATCTGTAACTAGGCAAGAGGAAAGACTCTGAACGTCCTTGCTTAAGAGGACAGTGTGAGATGTCAGTTGGTTTGCTGTGGAAGTGATTCTACCAATGACTCCATCACAAACCGAGTTAGTGATTAATTAGGAGGGAGAAGTACACTAGAATTTAGGTGTTGGTATCTGTGCTGTTAGGTTCAGCTGCCTCAGGGCAGTTCAAACACTTCCCAAGTACTTCTTCCAAAATAAAGAAGCAGGAGACATACACTGCCCTGATTTTGTGCATTGAAATGTAAATGTATGTGGAGGGAAAACAATTTTTATAAAATCCATGTAATCTACTCTCTCTGATTAATTTACTAATAGTTTAAAGAAAAGTACTGCTTGCTCTTCAATGTAACTTTGTTTTTAATATGTGTGTATATATGTAAAGTTGCAGATAACTTCAGTTGGAATTGTTTGTGAAATGGTAAAAGGATCATATCACCAAATCTGTATTCAGGTTCCTCTGTCAAATTTTATTTTAGCTGAAGTTCTTGTTTTCTACAAGCTAAAGTCCTTTTTATATTTTCAACCTTCAAAGGTAAAGCATACAAAGAACAGGATTGTACTTCATTCTTTTTCAAATTGGTGTTCAGAACAACCATAATTCTGCATATTAAAAAATACTTAATTTAAACAAGAACATAGTAAATTTCTCAAATACTGAAAAAGTACAAGGCAGGACTTTTAAAAACTTTCTTATGTTTGTAGATTTTAGATATGTGTGCTGCTCCTGGATCTAAGACTGCTCAGCTCATTGAAATGTTGCATGCAGACATGAATGTTCCTTTTCCTAGTAAGTCTGGAAAACTAAAAACTTGTGACTTGGAATTTGTGCTTTTTCTTGTAGTAAATTGTTCTTAAAGTCACAGATGAGTAACTGCATTTAACTACATATTGAATTCCCCAAGGGGTTGTTAGGAGATTAAAGGTACCCACCTTTGAAACTGCATGGGCTTCCTTTGCTTGAAAAACAGACACGAATTATATGTATCATTACAGTTCAGATTACAGTACATGTGGTTAGATCTTTATTTCTGTATATAAATCGGATTTATTTAGTAGATGGTGGCCCATGAGCCTCTGTGCTTTCGTGGTATCCTGCAAACACTGGATTAAGCTGCTTTAGACCTGAAGCAATTGTGATAGTTATTGTTTTTGTAAGCTTCAGAATCTTTATTTTTTGTTAGATGATAACAGAAAATGCTGCACATTGACACTGTAAAGAGTGTGGATTCTTTCTGTGTTGTACTGAAAATTTGCTGATCACGGGGTTTTTTTCTGTTTTAGAGGTTTTCCTCTAACAAGTTGAAGAGCCCTTGGCTGTGTCATACTGC